ACACAATGCAAGCGGTGGTGAATGCTCCTTCTCTGCTGGTGGGTTCTATAGAGATGCTATAAAAATCAGTACAATCTGTTTGGAAAGCTGTTTGAGCTTATCTGTCACAATTCAACATTTCAAGATCTCATGATTCATCAGTTCTGCTCCTGCATATGTAACCAACAGAAATACGCACACACCAAAAGGCATCTTCGCAGATGTGCACAGCCACATTATTTGTAATTGCCGAAACTGGAAACAAGCAAGATGGCGACCAAGAGTAGAACATAAGTTAATTATGATCTTTTCATATAAGGAAATACTCTACGATGAAACTGAATGAGCTTCTGGTATTCAAAAAAACACGAATGACCCTCACAACCATATTTTAAATAAAAGAAGCCAGATATCATTTGATTTCTCCTTGGAAAAAGTTCAAAACCAGACAAACTAGCCTGCAGTATCAGAAGTCAAGTAAGAAGTGACTTCTGGAAAGGAGGGAAAGGGAGTCATTAAAAGCAGCATGAAAAATAAAAAGAGCAAGCCATGGGTTGTTTTATACAAAAATAAAATACAATAAAGGAACATTGGTGTGGAGCTGGCCAAATTTTCCTTCTTGACCTTGACCTGAACGATGTTTACCTGGGGGTTGCTTCGTGGCGTTCCATTGTTACTATACTTTTTATGTGTTATATATGTTATACTTTGGTGAAAATTAAATAAGAAAAAAAGGGAAGGGGAGGGGAGGGGAGGGGAAGGGAGTAACAATGGATGAGACATCACAAAATAGAACCAAAAAGGGCTACGAAGCTCCAGATGTGCCATCAGTTTATTGCAGTAATGTTTCTTGAAAGGTTGTAAACAGAATTTTTACAGCTTTTGGGAACCTTCCAAATGATTTACAAGGTCTTTTGGAGGGGAAAAGACAGATCTAGATAGAAATATTCATCTGTTGCAGTTCATTTGATGCAAAGCACACCTGTATGATCTCCCAAAATTATTTCACGCATTCATATAGTGTCCTAATGTAGCATTTGTGATGGATTCTAGTAGCACCTATGATGCATTCTAACAACCATGTAATTTCTAATCTCATACATTACTCGGTACTGACCTGTCTCATAACACTTGTGATACTTGTTCTAATTGCCTGTTTATTTTTTTCTCTAATGTCAGAAAATTATACCAGAGACTCTGCCATGTTTCCTACGTCCCCTATCCCCTGTACCTAACAGTGCCTGGCCTGTAATATACACTTAGTGAATATTTGCTTCACATATAAGTGAAATATCATCACAAGGTAAATTAAGTCATTTAACTAAATTAAGTATGCTTTGGGGAAATTTAAATTATCTTTCACAGCACCTTGCAAATTAATAAGATTAGTGGGGCATTCTTCTCTGACCTTGTTGGATAATGAAGTGCTCATAGCCTGAATATTCCCACCCTGTAGGCGTCTATCCAAGACCTTTTGAAGCTATATTTGATCAAAACATAAACTCAGCATTATTTTCAAATAAATAAAACATGCAAATTATTTATCAGTGGACATCTTATCAAGGTGTTACAATATAAGTGGTCCTTCCCTTAGATCGTGTTGTATTCATTTGGAATTGGGGACGATCACAAAAAACATCAGGTTGACAGAAGAAACAAATACAAATCACCTTTCACATTTTTCACTTTTTAAATGTTCAAATTTCATTTGTTGAATAAAGAAGGACAGATCAGCTCTTGGA